TTAACCAGAAGCTCTCAGTGGAGAAATTATGAAATGAAATAATTTTTAAAGATGCACACATAGAGGACGCCTGGGTGGCTCAGTCGGTTAAGTGGCTGCCTTCGACCCAGGTCATGATCCCAGGGTCCTGGGATCGAGTCCCACATTGGGCTCCTTGCTCAGCGGGGAGCCTGCTTCTCCCTCTCTCTCCTTCTGCTTGTGCTCTCTCTGTCAAATAAATAAAATCTAAAAAAAAAAAAAAGATGCACACACAGTGTTGGGCTTTGGGAAAATAACTTAGACCAGACAACACTGCTACGAAAATCAAGCTTTGCCTTCCAAAGCATAAAGTCAAAGGCATGCCTGGACCTAGAACACTCCAGAAGACCTCTTCCTCCCCTAGGCTCACCTTGCCTCATGCCATCTTGCAGTGACATCTGCACCACTCAGCATCTTCTCATTTCTTTTGAGACTGTGAGGACAGATTCCCCAGGGATGTAATTTGGACCAATCTCACTAGAGGTGTGTCTATTTCTTAGACTTTTCAAAAAACCAATGTTTGCCTTTATCGATCCTATTTTTCATTTGTTTTCTATTTTATTAATTTATGCACTGATCTTTATTGCCTATTTCCCATGGGTTCATCCTGTTGTTGTTTTTAATTTTTTCTTTGAGTAGAGCTGACACACAATGTTACATGAGCTTCAGGTGTGCAACACAGTGATTCAACGTCCCTATACCCTGTTGTTCTTTTTCTGCTTTAAATTGGAGATTCTGCACATTCATTTTCAGACTTCCTCCTTTTCTAATATAAGAATTTAGACCTATACATTTTTCTCACTTTCCATGTATCCCATAATTATGACATTTAGAATTTCAGTATCATTCAGTACCAAGTATTACTGAATTTCAGTAGGGTTTCTTCTTTGACGGAAGTTGTTTAAAATGTGATCATATATTATGAAACACGTGGTAATTTCTAAAATTCATCTTTTCTTCTTGTTTTCTGCCCTGTGCATGCAAAGCTCAAGACTTGTATCAGCTCAAGCACAGAATTCTCTTCCCCAGTTCTGTCTTCTGTAGGATTCCCTACCTTTTTTCAGCTCCCAAACCCCCACTCTCCATCTCCTGTCTAGAAAGACAGGATTTCCCTCTGAATGCTAGCCACTGGTGCTCTGCGTGGTTGCACACACTCAGGTCACTCTCAGAGTAAAGCAGTGAGAAACGCGAGAAAAACGGTACCACAAACTCTTTGTCCACAATCCCCTTTCCCAGTCCTCTGGCCAGAAAGATTTTCTCCAGGATTTGGGGGCCTGTACCACGCTGCATGTGAAGCAGTTCCCAACGAGGCGGCACCGGGGGCTGGGGTACCTGACGGGGACTCCCCACTTTCATCCTCCGGCTCAGAAGGGCACCTTGTCCCAGTGCTCTGGTCAGAAGGATAGGGTTTCTTCCCAAGATTTTGTTGTCAGCACCTGCTGCCCAGTTCTGTGCTGGGGCCACTCTCAGGTTAAAGCCAGGTGATGAAAAAGGAAAATGGAAAAACAAGAAATGTACCCCCTTAGAAGTCGATCTTCATGTTTGGTACCCCTCCCCATCTTCTTGCCAGTATTAGACTTTCCAGAGTCTTCCGGTGGAAGGTTTTGTCTACAGGAGTTAGTCGTTCGTAATCAGCAGGAGAGAAAAGCTGTATTTACTCCATCTTCACCAGACCCCGAAGTCCTATCCCTTACTTTTTTAATTGAAATTACTTTTGATTAAAATTGTGGACTTTGTAATTTTCCAGCACCTAGTTTGTATTTTAGCCAAGGGTCCTTCATAGACAGACTGGCATAATGCTGGAAGCAGAAACCTCCCACTTTCCTTTTTAAGGACTCACAAGCCATCTTTCTATTTAATAATACATCTCAGACATTTCCAATCAACAATTTTAATTAAGCTGCTTCTCTATAGTTTCCCTAAGCTGAGTTTTTTTCACTTGACAACGAATATTTACTGGGAAGCTACAATGTTGAAGCCCTGTAGTAAATGCTAGGAACATGGAAATAAGACCAATGAGCCCCAGTGTGATCACAACTCAACAAGGGAAACAGACACTTAGAGGTAATTTCAAATGATGGGAGGGCGCCTGGGTGGCTCAGATGGTTGAGCGTCTGCCTTCAGCTCAGGTCATGTTCCCAGGGTCCTGGGATCGGGTCCCGCATCGGGCTCCCTGCTCCTTGGGAGCCTGCTTCTCCCTCTGCCTCTCTCTCTCTCTCTCTCTCATGAATAAATAAATAAAATCTTTAAAAAAATCAAATGATGGGATAAGGTGTCACTGAGAGTGTTAGGGGACCCTGGGCTCAACAGTTCCAGCTGGGACTGGTCAGTCACAGAGTGCTCCAGAAAGGAGATGATAAATTAGTTAGCTCTTCAAAGATAAGCAGGATCCCACTGGAGGAAGGCTGTTCAGGATAAGGCAAGTAGATGAACACGGGCACAAAAATACAAATGCAAATGGTAAGACAGCCAGTATGCCTAGAGAGTGGAGGGCGAGCAGAACCGGACATCAGACTTCTCATGTTTTGCTCTTCACCAAAAGAAGCATCTCTTTTTCCAGAGAGAACTTTACTCACTAAAAACCTACTGCAGGGGGACTCTGTGATGATCTTCCTGATATGGAAAACAAGCACAACATACATACACACGGATATAATCTTGGCAGCTCTGCTTTTCTTATGATGTTAACTCAGCTGGCTTTATTTTGTTACTTTTTCAAGTTCAATGAAAATCACATCTTTAAAGAATGGACTGGAACCCACGTCAATAGGTAAGACAGGAATCTTTCTGAAAAAAATGAAAATTATCAACTTACACTAGGAGGTGTTTTTAATAGTGTACTGTTGGACAAATACATTAATATTATTTTTTATCCCTTTTTAAATGAATTAGGACACCACAAGATGAATTAAAAACATGGAAAATCATCCATGAGCATTTCTTTAAATCTTGCTTATTCGTCTTTTTATTACAAAAATTAAACAGTCCCACTAAAATGGTGCTATGGAAAGATATTTTGCTATCTCTGTAGAATTCAGTAAGTGTATTTGTTTGCTAGGACTGCCATAACAAAGTATCACAATAGGGGCTTAAATAACAGTATTGTCTCTTGGACATCCTCTTGGTTGTATCCAGTGTTGTTTCTTGATGCCAGTATCCCAAGTTTCTGATTCTCTCTTCAGCCAATTCCAATGTGATGTTAAATATCCATTTAGATTTTAATTTTAATAATTTTATTTTTTTATTTCTGGTTATATTTGATTATTTATATCACCAAAGCTGAAGGTCTAGGTGGATTTTTTATTTGCCCATCTCTGTTTTCTAATCACTTCACAATAAACATGTACTTCCTTTATAAAAAAAAAAGTTGTTAAAGTTATTTTATCACCTTTTCCCCTTGACTTCCTATGTATTCCTTTCTGAGCCCACATGTCCCTGCTACCCCCCATCACTCCCAAACACAAAGAGTCGGCAGTTCAGAAGAGAAACACTGGTTGAGAAATAAAAGCAAGGCAGTGCTCTTTTCTTTTCAATACCCAGAAGTCCTGTAATACTTAGTCTGGGGATGAAGAAGAGGAGCCCAGGACTGGAGTGAGGGCAGTGCTGATTCTGGCCCTGACAGCTGCATGGGGTAAATCACTTACCTCCCTGGCACCCAGTTTCTTCTTCTAGTCACAAGGAGCAAGTGCAATGCTCTGAGAACATTCCATATCTCTGAATTCCTCTGTGTAAACGCCCACAATGTCTTCTTCTCCCCACTCTACCTGCATTCCACACAAAGCAGTTGCCTGATACACCTTATTGGCTTTCCCGGTGAATGACATCCTGACTGCCTGGCTGTGTTCTTGAATGAATGAACAGGGGCCACAGTATGACTTTTGTGAGTCTTAGGTACTTTTACCTTTGTGGACCCCAAAAATGGTTTAATTATATTACATTTTACAATCTAATTAGTATAAAGATGACTATATTAACATTTTTTTCTGCCTAAAAGTTTATCTTTTTTTCTTTTGATTTTAGAAGAATTCTCATGGGTCCTTGAAAGCATTGTGGGCCCTAGGGCCTGGACCGGCCTAGCTAATGGGGAAGTCATCCCTGCAGGAACTACTCAATGGATGCTTCCAAATCCTGAGAAGTTTCATAAGAGAGCCTCTTGAGCAGCACACCAATGCATTCCCCAGATTTTATGCCAAGCCAGTTACCTAGTTTTCTTCTCTAAGGACATGGGTGGAGTTTCCCTCATTCTGTCATTTCATATTAAAATAAAGCTGCTCCTGACTCCTGGGCTCCATAGTAGCTCATATGGCATTTCTGTGCAAATTAGAAAAAGACTTCTTATTTTTAAGAAGAAGGGGGAAAGCCATTAAAGTATTGTATTATTGCACCATCTAAATAACTATCCCCACTGAGCCTGGGGAAAGTGCAAAGTCAAGTGGGCATCCTTTCCAACCTCACTTGGGGGCCACAGTCGTGGCCTGCATGGCATAGTAGTGGGACAGTAACAGTAATCCATGGCATTCAGCTTAAAGCCATCCTAGGCATAGTTCCATAAACCAAATTTCATCCTAAGTCTGTGGCCAGAATGGTCAAGTCTGAGTAGGACTCAGGCAAAGCCTCTAAAAGCAATGGGAGACCAGAGTCATGGCCTGGTTTCTCCCAGAGCAAAAAGTGGATAAGGCACAACCACATGAGTGTGCACACCACACGCTTTCCTGTGTGTGTGCATGGCCTTGCAGGCAAGTGTGGCTTAATGTGAGCTAGAACTCTCATGTTGCCCCCTGGAAGGCCCCCCAAAAGGCCGGGAAGCTCCACCACATGCTCCTGTGTGTGTTAGTGTATGTCTACAACATGAATAACACCCTGTGCCAGGCACAGTCTGACCAGCTATACCCAGCAGCCACACGTAGCTCACTGAGTCCCCTCGCTGACGGAAAGCCTGCACTTACACATAATAAAGCCTCCATCCATTCCCTTCTCTGCAGGGATGACATGCCAGGCTCGGAGCTCCTACATCACGAGTGAGATCCTGTGGGGTTACCGGTTCACACCTGTCCTGACGCTGGAAGACGGGTTTTATGAGGTCGACTACAACAGTTTCCACGAGACCTATGAGACCAGCACCCCATCTCTCAGTGCCAAAGAGCTGGCTGAGCTAGCCAGTAGGGCGGAGCTGCCCCTGAGTTGGTCTGTGTCCAGCAAACTCAACCAACATGCAGAACTGGAGACCGAAGAAGAAGAAAAGAACCTCGAGGAACAAACAGAAAGGAATGGTGATGTGGCAAACCTAGAGAACGAATCCAAAGTTTAGTCTCCTAGCTGGGTAGCTCCTTCTCCTCTCCCCTCACACAACCTTTTCTTGTCTTTCATTCTCTTTCTTTTTTGTCTCTCTTACTTGGTGTTTATTTATTTATATTTAATTTTGACATTACCAGAAAACAAATCTTCAAGGTGTAAAATATCTACCTGCCCTCTCTCGGTTACTCAGATTGACAAGGTAGACACGGATTTGGTTAAGGTGCAACGTGCCCTCATTTGTGGCCCAAGCTTGCTCTCTTTCCTAAATACCACACATCCAACTCCTAGGGATTTAAGCCACTTACCTGCATGTCTTGTACAATACCAGATCACTCAAAGAGTGTGTCAAAGATTTTACCTGGGATATGACAAGTTAGGTCTCTGGTGCCTATTTATTCATGCAGTGAGACATAGCATATAACCCTCAATTTTATAGATTCAAATAAATTTCATCTACAGGGTGAGGTGCTTGCCCCATACAGGCATTGCAGTTATAGGACCCAGGTCAGGTAAAGACAAAACACTGTACATATATATGCCTTATGTAATTACTTTCTTTTTGCAGTTAGTAATAAAACCCAGCATGTACAAAAGTACTATAGAACAGAACTTCTAAATAATGTACATAAATGTATAATTAATGTAGGTTTAGATATATAACTTTAGAAATAAGATGCAAAAAAAAAAAAAGATTCCCAATGTACAGTAGGCATTTCTGTTCTGATGTCTTTGCTTTCTTAATTTCTTTGGTCCCATTGACCACTGGCCCTTAGTGCATGGCCTTTGTTCCATATCCCAGACTGGTAGTGTTTGGGTACCCCACTGTTACCCTGCTGATCTTTTCATTGAATCTAATAAGCCATAGGTCTGGGGGAAGTTAGGAGGTCTAGTACATGGCAAAACCCACCACCAATATGCTGATATACTATGAAATGTTTACAAAACTGAGGTCTCTTTTTTTAGTAACAGGAGCCTCACTGACTAGCTTGGGGGAATATTCCAGGGGAAGGACACTATCTGGCATGTCACCAATGATGTGTTTATGCTTTTCACATGAGCTGTCACCCTTTGTAGTACAAGAGTTTGGGAAACTCTTCTTCTACAACACCATGGATTCTCCAGCTGTTCCACTCTGTAATCGGAAGAAACTACAGACTTAAAAAATGAGACATGGTAATTTAGCAGAAGATGGTTTCAGTCTAAAACCATGACATTCATGAAGGCACGTAGTAGGAGACATATATTGTAATCATTCACCTAACACACTTTGACTCCATCTGACTCTCTTCCTGTCCCCACCAGCTTATCCATCAGCATTTCTTGCATTTGTATTTATTATTATTTGTATTCTTTTATTATTATGAAATGATGAGAGTTCAATAGTCAGAGATTAGATCAACAATCTAGGTGACTACGAAATCTTTCTAGAGAGTGCCACAGGTGGGAAATCAAATCCAAAGTGTCTCCCAATCAGAAGAAAACGAGCAAAAAACTGCAGCCTTAATTCATTTTAATCTGCAAAGATAAATGGAGAGAGATTAAGAGAAAGAGAAGGAAGGCATTTTGTACTAAAACTCTAAATTTAAGATGAAAAAAATTCAAATAAAAAGATAAATGGAAGAGAATGTCAGACAAAATCTCAAGGGCAGGTGGAAATTTTGCACTGTAACAGATCTTTCACATTAACTTCACAATTTTAAACTATTTGTTCCCTAAAACAGTCGCCCATCATAAATACTCATTGACCGAACTCAAGTTGTTTTTCAGCTCCTATGGCTGTGCTCAGTTTGAGGCTTTGTGCCATGGAGGTCAAAGAACTCAAACTAGCTATCACTCACTCCCTGTTGCCCTTGACTTCCCTGACCAGATTGCACAGGCCTTCGCTGTAGTTTGGGGACCTTGTCTACTAAAAACCATGTCCCAGAGATAAGGAATGTGGCTTCTCAGTTTAACACGGGGGTCTCTCTTCTCCCATCTCTGAGACCTAGCATCAGGATACCTGCTTCTTGGCACTTGGACTTAACGGGAAACAAAACTGTTGGCCATAGCCCTTTCCTGTTTGCCAACATTTCACGTTTTGCATTGAATATCTGTTGAATCATTTATTCATTCCACACAATCCAAGGAGGAGGTTGTAGTCGAGGAGAAGGAGAGAGCCCCATACACTTCCTGCCAGGCTGTGGGGAGGTACTGTGGCCTTACCTCGCTGTAGCCTTATGAAAGGCGCCCTTGACTTGGGGGCGCTAACCCTGCAGCATCCCCAGGGTTGCAGGGCAAGGCATGGTAGCACAAAGAAAGATGAAGCATGGGCTGCAAAAAGTCTGCTAATTTAGCTCTTGATGACTCAGTGGGCCTTTTTTAATCCATACTAAGGCTCAAAGGACAACACACATCCTGTTGTCTGGTTGGAAGAGCAGTTCAGGGCCCTCTAGCACAACTGAACAAAGAGCCTTGACAACCCTTTGGTCATGCACATGTGTTAGGTCTCTATCTGTGCCAGGGCACCCGGGGGTGAGGTCTCTCCCTATTTCTCATTGTCTTTGGTGTCAATGTAGTTGGAGACAGAACATGAACCAAATCTCGTTTTTGTAATGTGAGCCTCTGAATCTTTAAACAAGGATGCTCCAGAAGAACCTTTTACTAGAATGTCCCTATCAAACATGTCTATTTTTCTACAGTTATTGATAACACAGTTTAACAGTGTATTTTGTGTCAACTGTTAAAATTTGGAATTGAAAGAAGCTCATTAAGACTGAATTTTCTAAGCAGCAAGAATTGAATGGTGTTTTTCATTAAGACTGTACAACAAAGATGAGCCCACAATTTCTACTCATTCTATTCCATCATATCTAGTCCCCATTCACACAGTCACTTTGTTAGGAAATCAAGTGCTTTGAAAATAAATAAGCCTATTTTAATGCAACAATACCCATAACTAATGAGGATCACCCTCAACTTGATATTTTGGTCTGTTAGTTTGGTGTGTTTGAGTCACTTTCCATAAAAGCATGGTGGGATCTGATAGCCAGATAAGAATTTTGAACCAACGGGTTACAGTTTGCCACAGTTGACCCCAATCTGGAGAAAAGGGCAGACTCAGCTGGAAGCATGACCTCCGCAAAGGCCGCTGAGACCCTTAGATTCTCACTTCCACTCACCCCAATATGCTTTCCAACTGGAAAACCTATTTGTTTATAAGTCAACTTTATGTAACTAATAAAACTGTTTATGTTTTTGGCTGTCCCCTGGGCAAATGATACTCTTTTAAATTAATGTATTTCTAATCACTGTAATGCCAGGTCATTGCTTATCCATTCCCTCATAACATGGCATTCCAGCCTACTGATCCAACAGATAGCCACTCCATGTCCATGAGAAGGAACTCCCTCTTCCCCCACTCCCTTCCTCTGTCTGTCTCTCTATTTTGTGCTATCTCTAGTTCCCCAGAGCCAGGTCCATTGACTTAGTTCAATATCTATGTTCCCTAACAAAAATCCAGCTATTGTCTCTAAAAATGTCAACAAATTTCTTAAGCACAATTTTCTCTTGCAGGTTTAACCAAATTAGGCCTCTGAAATGTCCATTTCTCATTGTACTCGGATTAAAAAATTATTTATGACTTCATTCAAAAGCCTAAATTTTGAAGTCTCCAGAGCAACATCCTTATGCTTTCCCTCCCTACATTTTCTTACATTTCAGGTTTCTTACTTTTTGCCCTTTGCTTTTTAATTTAGGTTTAAGCCAATATCTTTGGGATGTTCAGAAACTGTTCAGAAAGGCGGGAGCTGGTGGAGAGAGAAATTATAAAAATGCCATTAGAAAACTACTTGAATTCACCCAAAGAATGTGAAATCATTTTATTAGCTGAGTAATTCAAGATAAAAAGAATCAAAATATTCATAGTCATTTCCAAGATAGTTTGCCAATAGTCTGACTAGTTTTCAGTCTTTCTTTCCTTGACTTGGGTAATACTCTATGTGACTCAGAAAAGTCAAAAGGGTAGTTGGAAACTAAACACCCTACATAAATGGGAAACAGTATCTTCTATGATTTCCTTTCAATGGATGGCTATAACGTTGAAAAATATAGTCAGTATATACATAATAGATGATTCATTGATATTGTATTACAATATAGTAAAATCATATAATCCTGTTTCTAGACTTTATGGTCAACCTGTTTAAGAAAATGTAATCCTTTCATTTAAAATGGAGTAAAACACAACTCTTCCTAATATTTCTGCCCTTAATGTCTCGGAGAATTTCTGATGCAGTGTCATCTAGAAGTCAAAAGCTCTGTAAGGCTACAAAGAGATTTTGACAAAGCACAATATCAATACATAATACATTAACAAAACAATATTCCTAAGTTGTCTACATTGTGCTGAATTGGGAACATTCAGAGCACTTGCATAAATTTTGTCATTTAATTCCAATCCACCATGAGAGCTTGAGTGTTATAATATAAAAAGAAAACTAGGGTTTGGGCAAACTGAGTAACTTCCCCAAGGTTACAAGTCTAGTAATAATAGATCCCAGTCTCAAATCCAGGGGCCAAGTCTTAAGCCATGGTCTCTATTTACTACAGAAAGTGTCGGCAAACCGAATCTACTCACAGACTCCGGCCCACTGCCTGTTTTTGCACCACTTGTGAGCAAAGAATGACTTTTACATTTTTAAGAAGTTGGGGGAAAAAGACAAAAGAATATTTTCTGACATGTGAGAATTGTATGAAATTCCAATTCCAGTGTCCATAAATAAAATTTTATTGGAATACAGCCACACCCATTCATTTGTGTATTGCCTATGACCGCTTTCACACTACACTAACAGAGTTGAGTATTTAAGACAGAGACCATATGGCCAGAAGACTGAAATATTACTATCTGACCATTTACAGGAAAAGTTTGCCGACCCCTATACTGTACTATTAAGTACTGTTCATGTATTAAGTACTACTAATTACTAAATGTTATACTGTGCTACCAAGAGATTCCTGGACAACTTAGAATGATGACATTCTTTTCCAATATAAATGCATTGCAGTCACTCATAGATCTGTTTCCAAGAAAAAAATAACACAGTCATATAGTCAGGTGTCAAAGGAAGAGTCCTTCCTTTCCGTAACCATTCCCCCGAAGCGCTAAATAAATAACGAGCCAAGATTGAGCAGCCAACTCAGAAAGTGATAAGGTAAAACAACTTCTTAATGAACAAAAAAGAAATGTGAATCTCCAGTCCAGTGACTGAAACATTGCATCGCTGGAACCTATAGGTGTTTAAATATGTAGATAGTTGGGAAACATGTCTCTGACCAACAGCGTGAACTGGACTTGCAGTGGTTGCCACATATCAATCCGGCTTGCCCTCCCTAACTTGTCTTCTCTCTTATGCCCGCTTGGACTATGGAGCTGTACTTGGGTCTTCCTGCTAGTTCTCTCTAGCCTGCAATTGATCAACATGATAAAGATGAACTGATTGCTCATATCCAGCTGTCCTAGTTCTGGCTCTCTCCAGCAACTTGGCCAAAAGTTTAACATGAGAATTAAGAACTAGATGCTTCTCTTGGAAAACCAAGAGGTTCTTTGAAAAGAGCTCAGGGAGAAACAGAGTAGTAAAGTGTTGCCAGATTGTCACTTTCTGAATCTTAAGCATGAGATAAAGATTGGTAATTACAGAAATATTGAAT